ATGGATCTACAGCACGTGACGGACTAGGGCTGCCACCAACAGGATCCACGGCTGTCTGGGATGCGGGGAGCGAGGGGCAGGAGCTCTGAGGGGCTCCTCAAGGCTGGCCTTAGCACTGAGGGGTAGAGGTGCCATTTACTGAGACGGCGTTGGTGGGCGCCTTCTGGCAGGAGGCCAAGCGCACAGGACGAGGAACCCTGGTGAAGGCCGAGGGCTCTGGGGGTCTCGTGTTCCCGGTGTTTCTGCGGAGAGGTGGGGGAGCAGAGGGCAGCGGGTGGGAGAGCGGAGTGTCCAGGCCGGGGAGACACGGGGTGAGAGGGGCCCAGACTCCTGGCTGGTGCAGACTGGGTGGGGGGGTGGGAAGGTGGGCAGGGGCAGTCCGCATAAGGATTCGCAGCGGGTCTTGTCCCCAGGGGCAGCACGGAGGGGATTCAGTCAGCCCTGCGGCCCACCAGGAGAGAGACTCCTGGTTCTCGAGTTAGGGAGGGGAGGGGAGGGAGGAAGGGACAGCAATTTGCCAGGAAGCAGGCACTTCTTACACATTTGTATTTTAAAAAATGAGAAAATAACATAAAAGGACAGGGAGGAGTCTTTGAGCTTTCAAGTTTGGGCCAGAGTTTCCACAATAGGGTCCTCAGCCACAATTGCACCACACTGAGAGCCGGTCCCACAAACCCGCGGACCTTGACCTCCGCATCTGGCGGCCACTCAGGACAGGGAGTGGGAGCATCTGTGTTTGTTTTTTGTACCATTGCTTTGAGGGCTGAGAGCCACGTCTTTCCTCTTGGGGTGTTTGTGGTTTCAGTGCAACGCATCCAGGCTCGGTGTGGCTCCCGGGAGGGTCTCAGTGTCTCAGGGTTAACGCCGGCTTTTAAAAATAACTGACAAAAGAAAACACCTACCAGGAGACTTTCAAAGGCGTCCGTGCCCTCAGAGGAAAGGCTTACATCAGCATGAAACACGAGGTTGAAAGTTCTCCCACCTGCTCCTGGAATTCTGGTTGGGACACGGTGTTACCGCATGGCGGGTAGAACTGAGCCCAGGCTCTGCTCTTCCTCTTGCAAGGCCCCTCTGCACCCCTGGGCCTTTCTCTGCCCCCAAAGTCCCCGTGGAAAGGGACAGCGCAGAGAGCCCATTCTCCAATTCCCCACATGCCTTCATTATCTGCAAGTGTGATTCTCAGAAACTGCGGGACGTCTGAGCGGGCGCCTCTTTGGCTGGAAGCGTCCATCCAAATGTGACTGCAGGGTCTGACGGCACGAGATTTTTCACTGAACGGTACAGTTCAGGACTTGATCTTTCTGATGGGAGGCGGCCCTTTTTCTTGTCTTTAACTGCACACATCAGAGGAGGCAAGAGCCCAGCACCGCCCAGGGCCCTGGCGGACCACCTCCCATCAGAGAGCGGCTCTCTCTCCCATCTCTGCCTCTTCCTGGGTGAGTCGTCATCTCTCAAGTGAGCCTCAATTTCCCCATTAAAAACTGGAGGCTGTTTCCCAGAACGTCCATAGAGCTTGTTACAACAGCTAAGTGGGATGGCCGGGGTCTTGTCCCTAGCCACCCAAGCCAGTCACTTGGGAAGCTTTCTCAAACACCGTTCCCCAGAGCAAGGGAACCACAAGCTTTGGGGGTGAGGGCTGGGCCCATGTGATCGGACATGTGCTCTGCTGTTCAGTAAACTCCTCTTAATTATGAATGAAGTGGCCGGAGACATGAGCTTAGACATGGAACAGAAACATGTCCATTTTGGTGAGTTCCTCCTTGGATATCTCTTCTGACGGCTTCAAGCCAATCCTCTCAGCTAGCATCACGACCAAACTCAGCCCTCTTAAGAGTCAAAACATGTTTATTTAAAGCCATTTCTGTTGCAAACGAATGACCTGTGGCCTGATCAGTACAGAGCCGCCTTCCCTCCGAGGCGCCAGTCACCTACTGGTAGCAAGTTTGTGATGCCCACAGAAGTGATGGACTTGACATCCCAGGTGGCCTCATGTCCTGTCTGCAGGGCCTCAGAAACCTCAGCTCTTAAGTGGGCCGTCAAGTAATATACCTGCTCCGGTCCCGTTAGAGAGCTATGCTGTCCAACATGGCGGCCACTGGCCAGTCATGGATGGCATTTGAACACAAGTAATTAAAATTATGTACAATTACAATTCCGTTCCTCAATTGCACTTAACCCAGTGTAAGTGCTCAATGGCCATGTGTATCCAAGAGCTGCCATATAGGACAATGCTATTCTGGAACATCCCAGAAAGTGCTATAGGACAGCACAGTTCTAGAACATTCCGCCATTACAGAAAGGGCTATTGGACAGTGCAGCTCTGGAGCATTTTCAACATCCCTCCCTCCCACCCCTGCATTTCCCTAGCACCTTTCCCAATCTATCCCCTCCCCCACCACCTCAAGAGGAGACCAGGCTCAGTGCGGTTTTGTGCATACAGTGTGGACGGCTGAATAATGGCCCAAGGTGTCCTTGTCCTAATCCCCAGGACCTGTGGATATGTGACCTCACATGGCAAAGGGACTTTGCAGATGGGATTAAGGATCTGGAGGTGAGGAGATGAGCCTGGACCATGCGGGTGGGCCCTGTGGACTCACAAGGTCCTTGTAAGAGGGAGGGCGAGGGTCCAAGTCAGAGGGACGCTGTGGTGATGGAGGCAGAGGCTGGTGGCAGTGACATGCTTTGAAGGTGGTCTTAGGAGGGGCCCTGAGCCAAGGGACGGGGGCACCTCTAGCCGTTGGGGAAGCCTGGAAACAGCCAGAAGCCTCCAGCGGGAGCCAGCCTGCCCGCACCTTGACTGTCGCTCCCTGAGACCCGTGTCTGCCCTCTGTCCTCCAGACTGTAAGGCAACAAATGCATATTGTTGGAAGCCACTGAGTCTGGGGCAACTTGTACGACCACCACAGGACACTCTCCCTGTGCACGAAAGCCCACCTCACTCAAGACTCAGGCATCGTGACATTTCCCCAGAAGACAAGAAATATTTTTGGTCTGAACCAGACTTTACACTATCCGCTTCTCCTCGACTGTCCTCCCCCAACCTCGCACCCAGGCGAACAGCCAGGCCCCCCACCCATCACCGGCACACCCATGCTTGCTGGAATGGAGGTGCCTCCGTGGGCTCTGTGGGCGCCCTGGAGGGCCTGTGGGGCTGCATCTGGACGAGGCATTGTAATAGCTCACCGTGAGGGTGAGCTTTCCCAGCGAAGATGGTGTGTAAGGAAGTCGGGGTGCTTTCTCTGCAGTGGAGGCCAGAGCCTCGAATCGCCCAAAGCCAGACTGCAAATTGTGGAAACACCACGGGAGGCTCTGAGATTGGGGAAAAATAAAAATCTCTGCCAAGACAAACCACATCTGTATCATACGTTCTCTTTGATTTGAGATGCTATTTGTGGACTGTAGGGAGTCTATTTATTCTTTATCTCCCCGAAATGGAGTTTTTTTTTTTTTTGCTGCACCTCGGTGGATTCCATATTTTCCGCGTGGGGATGGGGCCGTGGTGTGTCTGTCCATCCCCGGACTCTGAATGCCCGACACAGGCAGGCCGTCTCCGCATTCTTTTTTTTTTTTTTTAAGATTTTTTTTTTAAAAATTTATTCATGAGAGGCAGAGAGAGAGAGAGAGAGAGAGAGAGAGATCGGCAGAGGGAGAAGCAGGCTCCCAAGGAGCAGGGAGCCCGATGCGGGACTCGATCCCAGGACCCTGGGATCATGACCTGAGCCGAAGGCAGATGCTTAACCATCTGAGCCACCCAGGCACCCCCGTCTCTGCATTCTTGACATTTCCAGAGAAAAAGATAATCTTAGTTTTTAAAATGTAAACAAGTAATATCTACTTACTTTGGCGGGGGGAAGACTATTTAGGGAAGGAAGAAGAAGAAAACATGCAATGCTTATGTGCCACGTCTCACTGTGCGCGGGGCAGAAAGGTAATGTTGGGAGACGACACGATGGGTTGTTCGTAGCTTTGCATCACTACCAGAGGGGAATATTCGGGATGCTGTGAGAATAAAAATGCTATTATCAATCAGGATGTTCCTCAGCCTCACAAAGGAAGAAAGCTCTAACACAAGCTTTAGGACGGGTGAACGTCGGGGATGTGGCGCTAAGTGAAGGAAGCCAGTCACAAAAGCCCAAATATTATAACGGTTCCACTTATGTTTTATTGTAGCGCAGTCAAAATCACGGAGACAGACCCTTGAATCGGGGCTGCCGGGGGCTGGGGGCGGGCGTGGGCAGGGAGCGCGCACCGGGGGTGGGGGTGGGGGGGGGGGGCAGAGTTCCAGTTCTGCAAGATGCAGAGAGCTCTGGGGCGGGGCGGTGGGACGGCTGCACACCATCATGAACGCAATAAATGCCACAGACGCGTTCACTTGGAAATGGGTAAAATGGTAATTTATGTGGTGTGTGTTTCATTACAATTAAAAAAAAAAAAAAGCAGAACGACCACAACTAAACGGCACCGGGTTCTGAGCGGCCACATTGGAAACCGCCTCGGCCATGAAGCCGGAGCGGGGGCTAGAGCCGGGGATCGCAGGCGGCCTCAGGGGCCGGGACGGGCCAGGAAGCCGCGGTTTCCCGCCAGCCCCCCGACACCTTCAGACTGGGCTTCTAGAACTGTGAAGGAACACATTGCTCTTGGGTTAGCCCCTCCAGTCTGTGGTCATCTGTCACAGCAGCCTCAGGACACTGAGACGCCCAGGAGTCTGGAGGCGGGGAAGACGCATGTGGGTCCCCGTCCCTCGGGAAGCATGCAGGGGCCATGAGTGTGGAGAGACAGAGGGCGCCCGTCTGAGACAAGGAAGCATGGGCGGGTGGCCCGGGTCAGCGGGGGCTTGCTCGGGCACTGCCGTGGGCGCCAAGATACCCCGTGTCCCCACATTTCCGTTCCCTACCCTACTGAGGCTTCTTTGAAGTAGTTTCTTTTCCCCGCAACTGTAATGCACAATGACTGAAACAATGATCTCTTTCTCTCTTTTTAGTGTCAGAGGCGACATCCACTCAGATGCCCCCTTCCGCAGCCCGGAAGGATGAACGGACCTTCCGGTTCATCAGGGGTTGAAGCGGACGGTAGTTGTCCACCATCGAATGCTCTTCTTCCCCGAGCGCAGAAGACAGGAGCGTGCGAAAGGCAGCCAGCTGCAATGGAGAGCAACCAGAGTGTGCCGGGTGCAGGTCCGGAGAGAACCAGCTCCCAGATGGCCCTCCTGCCGTGCACACTCAAGCTCCGCCCCACCCCTGCCCACACACTGATTCAGGCATGGCCGCGCACGGCCAGCACAAGGTGGCGGAGGGGACGCCCAAGCTCGGTCAGAAGAGGCATCGAAGCTTCCGCCTTGGTTTCCAGCGTCCTTGCCCTGGAGAAGCCAGCCGCCATGTAGTAAGGACTGCCAAGCAGCCTCCATGAGAGGAGCCGAGGCCCACGGCCAACAGCCAGCACCGGCTTGCCAGCCACCGAGTGAGCCTCCAGCCTGGCTCAAGCTTTCAGAGCCCACAGGACTTCTGACTGCAACGCTGAGAGCTATCCCAAGCCAGAACCACCCCATACTCTGACCCCCGGCAACGCAGGGGGATACTAACGGTGATCGTTTCCTTAAGCCTCTACCGTTGGGAATTGCCATGCGGCAACAGTCAGCAAACACCTATAACATAAAAACTAAGCGAGTACATACAACAGGAAGTAACATTTGACTCGCTTCTCACTGAAGGAGCTAAAAGTCCATTTTTATCACCTCATTTGTTCTCCGAATACACTGAGGAGCTCTGCAAGGATCATTCCCGTGTTTGATGACCTATGGAGCTGGGGTTGTGTCTACACAGGGACCATGTGTGGAGCAAGCTGGCAGCTGCCCCCAGAGTCATGGAGGGCAAGGAGGACCCAGGCTCCCGGGGTTCAGGCACAGGATGTCCTGCACCTGCTGTTGGCTTGCTCAGGAAGGCAGCTTCTCTCCTCCCCCCCGCCCCCTGCAGCGGTGCATGCACCACCTCCCCAGTTCCTCTGCTCGGGGTAAGGGGCTTCTGCTCTGCATTGCTGTTTAATACTCACCCCCATCTTAAAAGAATTAGCTCGTGTTTCTATTTCCTCCCAGACGGCAGTGTGCAGAGACTGTTCTCAATGGACCTCATCACTGCACCTGCTGCTACCCATCTCCCACCCTCTTCGGCTGCAATACCCGACATGCACGGGTGCTCATTATGTGTGTGCTGAGTGACAGAAGGGTGACCAGGGGCCATTTTTCGACCAGGGGCCATTTTTCGACCAGGGTCCTCCTTGTGTTGCTAACAGTTCTGGTTTGGGAGAAGAGTGCATCGCTCGCTCTGCCTTCCAAAGCAAACAGTGTCATTCCATGACTTTTGCACGAGAGGATGTTTGCAGAATCACGAGGCCGGAGCCTCAGAAAGAGACTGGCAGGGAAGGCCCACCCTGCATCGGACGGGGGCCGTGGCCGCGAGCTTGCTGCGTGTCTGTCATCCCCAGACTCTGAATGCCTGACACAGACATGATGTCTCCGCATTCTTGAGATTTCCAGAGAAAAAGATACTCTAAGTTTTTTAAGTGTTAACAAGTAATATCTACTTACTTTGGGTGGGGAGGGGGAGGGGAAGACTATTTAGAAAAGGAAGAGGAAGGAAATTAGAACGAGTGCAGAAATCCCTGGACATCCAGTATTAAATTTCTGGTGTAAGTCTGTGTGCCAGACTAGGGCATTACTCTGTGAGCACTCGCTCACCTCCTCCCCGCCCCGTGGACCTCAGCCACTGGGACCTGCTGCGGCCAGCAGGATGAGAGCATGTGGGGTCTGCTGGTCTTTTGCATTTCTGTCATGCACCATGGACCCAGCTCTGGGTAGCCACTGGTCCAGGGAGCACAAGACAACCCGGGCCCGACCCAAACCCCAACCCCCTGCCATCCACAGCCAACCCACAGACCCAAAGCAGGTAAAATAGATGCTTGTTAGGAGCCATTGAGTTTTGGGGTGGTTTGTTAACCCACATTGTTGTAGCACTAGCTGACTGACCTAATCCTTCTGGAATTTTCTCTCAACGTGTATAACTTAATACAGCCCGTGAGAGAAACTCTCAGCAAACTCAATTGTTTACTGTTCCATCATCCAAAGAAGGGGGAAAAAAACTAAAATCTCCTCCTCTCCTTCAGTGATCCTACTTCTTTCACGGCTTTGCAAAATTCATCGACGATACTCCTTTCTCGGTTAATTTGTTCACCTACAAATACCTACGGAGGTCCCATCATGGGGACCCACGTCCCAATTCTAACGTCACTTCTGTTCTTGCTAAAGTAACTTCAGCCCGACACACACAACAGAGCAAAGCCCTGACCTTGTTCAGCCATTTGTCATCAGGGAGACTTGCTGCGCCTGAATTCGAAACCGCTGAAGATTAAGACAGAGCCGGTGTTGCTGTTCGCCTAGCTCCTCTTTAGCTGGAAAATCCAAACCACACCGGACAACGAAACCCGTGACACACGCTCACAGTGTCTCGGTGGCCCTGAACAGGACTTGAGCCCTCAGTCCCTTCCCCCCACGCCGGTTCAGGTGCAGCTTACCTGGCTCTGAGCCACTTCGACAGGCTGCTTCTGGATGATCCAGGTGACCGACTCGCTGAGCGGAGGCGTGGTGAGGGAGCCCGGGTAGGTCCAGTAGTCCCGACAGGCGGGCAGGAGACGGGAGGGCTGGAAGGGGCCCACGGCAGCCCGTGCACCCTGAGAGACCAAGACCGCAGGTGGCGTCGGGTCTCAGGCAGAGACGGTGGTGGTGGGGGGAGGGGAGGGGTGCTGGCAAGAAGGGGATGGCGCCCCATCTTTATCCCAGTGACCAGGCCTTCATGGGACAAGTTTGGTCCTGGGGTAAAGATGGTGAGGCTGCAGTTGTCACATTTGGAAGCAGTAAAGAAAATGTGACCCTCCTGTGCAGAGCAGGGATGCCCACCAAATGCTTTACACATTTCCTTTCTGAGCTATTCTTGTTTGCATACCTCCTCTGTGAAAACATGACATTTTTGAAAACAATGGTAAAATAACACACATAACATGAAATTGACCATCCCAACCATGTTTAAGCATACAGTTCTGTGGCTCTAAGTACGTTCACGTGGTGTGACCACCACCACCATCCATCTCCAGGACGTTCCCATCTTCCCAAGCAAACTCTGTCCTCATTAGGCACCCCCTCCCCTGTCCCACCCCCGGTGCCAGCACCGCCCCCCACCATCTACTTCCCGTCCCTGTGGATCTGAGTCCTCCGGGGACCTCTGTGAGCAGAACTGCACAGCGTTGGTCCCATTGTGACAGGCCGACCTCACTCCGCACAGTCCCCTCCAGGTCCATCCACGCTATGGCAGGTGTCAGAATAGCCTTCCTAATACTCCACTGCATGGATCAACTGCATTTTGGTAATCCATTCATCCCAAAACAGACGCTTGCACCTCTGGCCTATTGTGAGGGATGCTTTTGTGAACATGAGGCACCCATGTCTCTTCAAGACCTTGCTTTCAGTTACTTGGGGGACATAACCGGAAGGGCATGTACCGGATCCCACGGTAATTCTGTGTTTAAGTTTTGAGGAACCACCGGACTGTTTCCCACAAGGACTGCCCCAGAAAATATTACTCTTTCTAGACAGTTGGTGTTCTCTTTGAAGCAGGCTGCCCTGACCATTATGCCAGGATTCTCCTTCTCTGGATGCTGTTCTCGACCACCAAGCACCAAGCTCCCTGTGCTGCAGCCGAGGGGGGCTCGTGTCAGCGCCTCCCCCACGTGGGAGCCTCTGGTCAGAATCTATGCCTATTGGCTTTCCAGCCTTCATCAAAGGATTGGGGACAGCTGCCTCTCTGCGTTCCGGGGGTCATGGATGGGGCACCTCCTTCATTCATTCACCCACAGCTACGTGGTGCACACCTGACTCTATGTTGGGCACGGAGGGGGGAGGAGACAGAGAGAACAAACTACCCACATTCACGGGACTCACTTTTTACCAGAGAAAAGCAGAGCACACACAAAATAAGTAAGTGAAATATCAAGTCGTTCCAACCACAGTAAGCATGATGGAGGAAATTTAAGTAGGGCAGTGGGATCAGAAATGCTGGGGGGGGGGTTAGTGGTTGGCGTGTTAAGAGGGGATGGTCCTCAAGGCCTCATAGAGGACACGTTTGAGTGAAGACTTGGAAGGGGTAAAGGAAGAGGGCTGCGGGTTTCTGGGGGGAAGAGCCTTCCAGAGAGTGGGCAGAGCCAGTGCAAATGCCCTGAGGCAGGGTGTGGCCTGAAGGGCTTGAGGAATAGCACAGAGGCCACCTGGCTGGAAGGAGTGAGTGAGAAACCAAAGCAGTAAAGCGGTGGAGGGCAGGGAGCCTGCAGAAAGGGACCCACCCCCCTGCTTCTGCCCAGGACTAGGGAATCCCTGAAGAAATCCACCAGCAGGGGCAGGAGTCCCAGGGCTGCAATCTGGTTGCCACTCAGCACAGTGCCAGGTGAGGGAAGGGTGCAGACAAAGGAGGACCTATTGGTTCTCCAGCTGGGGGCCCTCCAGCAGGCTTTTGCTCAGTGACGGAAGGATCTCTTGGGGTCCTTTGGGTTGGCAGGCTCAGGACCATGGTCCCTGCTGCTCTGGAAAGCCAGGGAGACCAAGGCCGAGGGCATAGCCCTGGGAGCAACGCCACGCTAGCCAGCGCTGAGGTACCGGAGCTGTAGGCCCCGGGCGGCACTGTGGGAGGGTGTCCAGGCACGGGGCGGACACACTTGTCCCCAGACCCTGTGTCTGAAGGCACAGTTCCTCTGTGGGGGCCGTGTCGGAACTCCCAGTCCTTCTCAAGGCTGATGACGTCACCCTGTGTGCTCTGGTGATGTCGTGAAGGAAGCAGGTCACAGGTGCACTTGGGACAAAATGCAAGAAGTGCGGGGGGTGGGGAGCACCGTGGCAAATCCACACACCTCCCCTTCCCCCAAAGGGGCTTCCGAGGCTGTGACCGCGAAGTTTCAGATCCACCCGCAAGAGGTGTTTCTACTTTATTAAAGAGGAACGTCGGGGTACGTAGACGTGACTTTCTCAAAGCGGTAGAGCCCAGACGCTGCGGGAGTCTGTCCCACCCCAAAGCTGGCTGTCCCTCCTTCCCTGGGGCTGCAGGGGTGGGGGTAAAGGCGGCGGCTTGTGTGGAGGGCCAGCTGGATGCACCCACCACCGCTTTCCCGCCAATTAAAGTTTTGGGGAGGATCCATGACGACACATTTGTCAGAACCATAGAACGGTAGGCCACAGAGATGGTGTCTAACGTTGCCAATGTAAAGAATGGCTCTGGACGTTGGGGGCACCCAGCATGGGGTGCAGAGAGGGGCCACTGAGTCTAACGGGACCCCATCCCCCTGACCCGGGAGGCACAGACACCCACCCTGCAAGCTGGACCTTTTGTGTCCTAGGCGCTCACTCTTATTTCTCAGGTTAGGAAGCTGAGGCCAAAGACGAGCGTCAGGCCCAGAAGCGAGGCCCGGGCACCTCCCCTGACACCCAGACAGACCTGGGGAGCCAGACGCGCTCCAGAGCTTCCATGGGAGGAAAACAGACCCCAGAGTAAACAGCCCCTTGCGGCCAGGTCCTTCCCTTCCCACCAAGAGGTGGAGGCCACACCGTGTGGGAGGTGGACGCCCGGGGAAAACATCCTCAGTTTACTCTGGCTGCAGACCAGTGGGAGAGAGGATGCTCCCAGCACCTTGACCTTGGGAAGTTCCTGAGCCTGTGGACGGGGCAGCAGGGCGTGATCTGGTCTTGGTCCCACGGGGCCAGCCCCAAGGTCAACATCAAAGGGAACACACCGCCCACATCAAACAGACCCCGTGAAGCTGCCGAGGAAGGGTTGGCCCCCTGCTTTCATCTGGAGCCACTCGGGCCATTGTTGTGACAGGTCCGGGCCCATCCGTCCCCGTCCAGGGACCACCAGGACTCCTCGCGTCCTGGAATTCTTTTGTTTGGTACTGAACAAATAAACTACATTTCTTGGGAATTTCCATGTGTCCATCAAAGTCCTTTCTCAGCTCATGTTGGAGGAAAGCTGCATTGTTGTCCTTGTCTTTTTGAGCTGAGCTTAGTGCAGCAAGGTGCACCAGGGGAGCTGAGCGAAGACGCCCTCGCGGAGGGCGAGCGGGTGGGCTGGGCTTTCTCCCTACCCCCGGCCTCCCTGTTCTCCTGGGATGGGGTGACCCTGAGATCCCGCACTGGGAGTGTGGTAGGTGGCATGTGTGTGGGCACTCCTAAATGACAGATATTTACTGCAGTCGGTTTTAAAACAAACATCATCCCTAGGAGATGTCATTGCCTGGGAGAATTCTAAAGATTCCTTCAAGCTGATCGGTTTAAGGAAAAATACTACGTAACGAACAGTACCAGTGACAGGCGGACATGGCAAACACCTTAAGATGCTGCCTGAGCGGCTGAATTTTGGGAAAGTCGGAGGGAGTCCAGCATCCCCACTGTACTGAGGAGGGAGGGGTCCACGGGGAGCAGGGACCCGCGGACCTCGGGGAGTGAGCCCGTTGGGGATGCGCTGGAATCAGCCCCAGGGAGTCCCAGCCCCGGACCGGGGACTCAGACCCCCTCAGCCAGACCCCTCCACCCATTAGATCTTTTGTTGTTGCCAACGAGTCATTAATCTAAGCTGTGACGAGCGCAAACCACGCAGCTTACCTTATGCTTGATTTCCGGCAAGACTTCCACCAACTTCTGCAGTGCCTCGTGCCGGGCCCCCAGCTGCACGGCACAGACGGGAAAGGCCGGGGTGAGAAGGCAGCAGGCGGGAGGGCGAGCCCGCTCCACGCTCCACGGACAGTGGTTCACCCGTTTCCCCGGGGGAGCCGCGCGCCCGCAAGCTTACCTTTAGAAACACGCCTATCACGGCCACGCCGTTCTCCCCCATTACGGCTTCTTTGTAATTTCGGTATCTCACCGAATTCCAGTGAACTAAATGCAGCTGAAAGAGAGAAGAAAGGAATTACGTTGATCACAGTGCGGCAAGACATACAGCATCTGCTCCGGCTTCCGGGCCGGACCCGGCACCCATTGCCCGGTTTTACCGGATTCAGGTGTGCCGCCTGCTTGGGGCTCCCAAACTCGGAGAGAAGCCCAGACAGTAAGGGCCTGGGCGCTTCCGGCGGGAGGGAAAGGAGGCTCGGCTTCGCCGTGTGAAATAGGACTTGGTGGCGGGATGGTGTGCTCTCGCTCAGCAATCCTTGAGCCAGCTTGCCAGATCGGCACCCGGACACTCAGTTACATTTGAATTTCAGATAAACAACGCACAGTTTTTAATGTGAGTATGCCATCCAAATTGCATTTCCCCCCCACGTCTGTCATTCTCCTCTGAACCTCATCTATGTCCCTATTTCGCGTCCCTCCTTGGGTTTTCCCGAGCCCAAACTCGGCATCAGGATTGGCCAGCTGACAAGGATTTAAGTGAGGGGCAGAGGACGAGCCAGGGAAACAGGGGAGGCCAGGTGCCGGGGCCTGGCTTGGGTTCCGTGTGATGGGGGCTCGTGGTCCTGCTGAGGCTGAGCTTGGCCCAGACCCAAGAAGGCGCCTGGGGGTCCGCACATCAGTCCTTTTAGGGGATGAGCTGTGCTACAGGCCTTTCTGAGCGGCGACCCAAGCCTCAAGTCCACACCGGCAGTCCAGAAAGCCCTCCAGCCTGTCGTGGTCAACGAGACCTTCCCCGTGCAGCTGCTGGGTTGCAGGGCTGGGGGGCCTCTGCCAAGGGTGTGGGGTCCACGTGTGCTACAGGTGACACCTCACTCCCAACAAACCCCAGGGCTCCCAGCCACGGGCACTGGGGCCAGCGAGGGTGGCCTGGCCTCTCCCGGCCCGTGCATGACTCACCTGGAATCCCCGCCCCCTCCACTGCTGTCCCAGTGGAGTCGCCCAGAAATCAAGACGGCTGGGCCCAACGCCCCAACTGCAGGCTGCTTCCTTCAGGGACCCCACCTTCGAACTGGATTTGCCTTCCAAACCCCCACAGGAAATGGAGGCTCCCTCATGGGCCAGAGGCACGGCCAGAACGGGCCCGGCAGCCCCTGCTCGGCTGACCCAGGGAGAGCCGCTGGGGGGCCCAAGCTCCAGTCTTGTTTCTATGCTGCCGCCTCTTCTGTGAAAGCATCTGCTCACGGAAAACCACGTGCAGACATACAGTTACCAAGACAGAAGGTATGCTGCCGGAGGAGAAAGAGCGTATCACAAGCCCCGCTCCTTCACTTTTGTGTTATTTGTAGACATGTGCACACTTATAACAACAGGTGTAACTTCCTGTTTATACACTGTCCCCAGAGGTCACCTCTGGGTGTGAGATTACAGGTGGTGTTCATGTTTTAGTTTGACTGGATCCTAGCTCTATTTTAACGGTAGCTTCCATAACAGTGGCAGCGAAAAGTTAAGACAAAAATCGTCCATAACTTGAAATGCATCAGGAGGTCAGGTGGTCGGTGCGTGGACAGAAGAGTGAGAAAGTGAATGTGGCAAACTGTTAACCATCACATCTGGGTGGCAGCCTCACAGGATCTCACGGAACAGTTCTACCAGGGTTTTTTTTGTATGTTGGAAAAATTTCATAATAAAATATTGGGAGAAGTCTATACACACCACTTACTGCCCACCCCCCCCGCCAAGCTGCAAACACCAACTCCTAACATTTATCCCTACCGATTTTCTCTACAGAATCCCATTTTGGAATGATGCAAACGTCTCGTCGCTTCAAGAAGATGATCTCTGTTGTAAGGATTTTCAGATCTCCGTCGAAGGCCGCGAGTGCCTCGAAGGACCGGAAACTTCTAAGTCCATAATCGACCAGCAGCGGGCACGTGGCTGAGGGAACGGCTCTTGAATCCCAGCTGCTGACCTGGGCAAGTCCCAGAGCCACTTAGAATCTCGGTCTCTCCTTCTGTTGGACGGAAGCGTGAACGGTACCCTGGTCTTAGGACAGCTGTGTGATTGAATGGGTAGGGCGACCCCCTGCTCCGGTTTGAGCCCCGAGAGTCCAGTGTTCCCTTCCTGGGCAACCAGGCTGGCCGGTCACCCTACACGCCAGCCCAGGACGTAGAAAGCACCCACGATGTAGCTGCTGCTGGGATGGCGTCTACCGACCTCTGCCGGGTACACGTGGTCATCCACCGTGTGCTCTGAGCCCCGCTCGTTCGCCGCTCCCCAGTGGAAATGGAACTGCTTTAGTCTGTAGAGGTTTTCCAAGGGGCCACCGCTGATCCCTGGAAAATGAAACCAGAGGAACACGTGTGTTAGTTTGTCTATTTGTCGGACTGCCTTTTGCTGTGACAACGTCTACCTACACGGAGGTCACACAAGTTCCCTCCCGAGAGATCGACGTTCTGCAGAAAGGACAAACTGAAAGGCCGGCTCTTGTCTGTTCACCTCTGTCCCTGTGGCCCTCTGGCCCCAGCGGACCTCAGCAGACCAGAGCGAGTGCAGAACTCAGCGCTGCCACCAGGTGGCGGCAGGGACCTCATCCCCTTTGGTGCCACAGGAAGGCATGCTGAGATGCATGCCCATCCTAGGTTTCCAGGCTTTTCTTTAATTAAAAAAAAAAAAAAAAAGATGTCTTTTGAATGAAAAAGTGGCAGCTTAAATTCCACCACCAAAGAATTCCATAAACTAGTATGTAATGAGCGAGATGTTCACGTAAAGAAATTCCGAGAAACAGCACGCTGCCTTCTCCATCAGCGCCAATCTGCGTGCAGTCCCTGTTCCAGGTAGTCTCACTATACAACCGGGCTTTATTGGTGGACTCTTTTCTAAGTCACCCTCAGTCCCCGATGCAGCCTCCCCGAGAGCTGTTAGCAGACAGGAGCGTCCATGATGGCGCACTAAAGGGCCCCGTCCCGAGTCCAGGGCGAGGGCTGAGAATCCCGTGCACAAGGCTGGCTGAGCTCCGGCTGCACTTTGCTAACAGATTTCCAGCAGTGTTGCTACGGATAGAATGGTAACTGTGGTGCATCTTGCTTTTAACTGAAGTGAGCACACGGCTACTGGGCTGGGGGGCAGGTCAGGAGGCCCTCCTGCAGATGCCAGCGGTGGCCCAGCCCACATCAGCTCCTCTGGGTGACCAATGGTATTGACAACGTCAGAGGCCCCTGGCTGGTGGTGTTCTCGGTTCTGCTTTCGCCATGAAAAGTACAAGGAGCAGAAAGAGCTGAACAGTAAAGTCGAAAACAGATTGAGTTCATGATTCTGCCCTTGACCAGCTCAAAGAGCTCCTCACTGCCTTTCTTCACTAGAAAATGAGGGTTGTTGGTCTAGAACCTCATTAAGTTCTTGTCTAGTTGTAGAGTTCTACGGTTTTATGAGGTGATCAACTCTCCTGAGCGCACACATGTGAATTATACCTCAATTTTTAAAAATACACAGAGCGAAGCATATAAAAACGTCCTAAGTCCCAAAGCCCGAATCTACAGGTGGCCACAGCACGGGAGCGTGGAGGAGTCACTCTGCAGATGAGAAAGCCTCCCGGTGGGTTCAAATCACACGGCTTTAGTGGAGATTTTCTGTGGCTAAAATGACAAAGCGGGTTGGTTTTTTTCCCTGGGAGGAGGAGGTGAACTTGAGCCCACTGGCCTTTGTAGTTCTGGGTTGCCTTGTAGCTTACCAGCAGATGGTGGGCAGTTTGCTGGTAATCCCAGCAACGGGAGCTAGGATTTGAGCCCAGGTCTGACACGAAAACCCACGCCTTTTCCACTTTATCCTTCCAAGCAGAAAACACAATTTCAGGAAGTTACAGGACCACGAACCCCGGCAGTGGAAATCTCTGTGCTTGCTCCTGCCTGGCACCCTCTATCCATGGTGCAGAGGGGCTTTGTAGCGCTGGCCAACCAGGGGCCTCGCACTGCCAAAACGCACCCGTTCGTGACCAAGAGGCAAGCCTGAGGGGTGAGTGTGGCACTTAGAGTCTGAGCAACTTTCCTGCAGGAGGTGACCGGGGCACCGCGGCGGAGACGGTAACATGCTCACCCATGCAGGCCGACATCATCTTTTCGAGAACCAGAGCGCCAGAAGGCAGGAATGATGGGTAGGCCTGGACTTGCAGCTTACCTCTGCCTCACACTTGCCTCTCTGAGCCTCAGCCTCCCCACCCGTGCAGTGAGTGTTGGTGGGATAAACGGAGGTGGTGACGGAGAGAGTGCCTGGTGGAGGGTTGTCACGACGATAATCATGCTGGTAAAGAAGGACTTGACTCCATCTGTTAAAAAACAATTACCAGCTAGAAGGTTCTTGCGGGCCCTTTCTGCTCAAGCGGGAATTAGGATTAGAATTCTATGTAGGCACATACATAAGGTCTCCGAAAGAGCGACAGCAACTGTATGCAGCATAAATCCACCCCTGGCTGGATGTCCGCTAGAAGCCCGCCAAAAATGCCCTTGTAGAAAAATCTCCCGTGGGTGCCAGGGATGGGAAGCTGCGGGGATGGGAGGGGCTTGTGGGCGCGCCCACTACTCCTTCCTTTGTAACTGGAGAGCTGCAAGGTCAGAAGCCTGTTCCAAGGTCACCCTCTGCACAGGACTGGGGCCCACAGACGCGGCCCCACGCTCTCCCCGACGTGAAGCTGCCCCTGAAGCTGCCTCCCACCAGCCAGACTCCAGCCCGTCTGCTTCTGCAGGAGAATGAAGCATGGAAGGCCATCCTTTGGAACCCTGGGGCTCTGGCCCACCTCAGAAATGAATGCTCCCGTTCAGTGGGGCCTCCAAGACACGTGTCTCTTTCAGGGTGACATCTGGGCCTCTGTAAAGGAAGGACTCGATCCTGGGCCGGGACCGGGCAAGCTCCTAACACCACCTCCCCCACCCCAAGGCTGTGGCATCTCCCTAGCCTTATCATATGCAAACACAAACAAGGAGATAAGCAAAACTGGAGCTTTCTAGGACAACAAGTGAGGAGGAAGGAGGAAGTTTATAGCCTGGGCTGGGCTGGAACGGTACCCTGGGGCAGGTCGGTGGAGACACCGACAAACCTGGACCTTTGGCTGATGCAGGCATGGCGCCCTTTTCAGCCTTTGAGTGCACCCAGGAAGAGGGAAAGGGCAGGTCAGAAAGCATAGCTTCTATGTTCAGGAATGCCCTCAGTCACCCGGTGACCCCATCCCAGGCCTGCTCGAAGGTCCAGCCCCTCGGCTGGTGCAGCAGGGTTCCAACCCATGAGCCTTTCCTGCCGGGAAGCTTAGGAACTCAACTTAAGGCTGCAGCCCTGGATCAAATAACCTCAAGGTGACTTTTCATACTGACACTGCAGTGCCAGGGTAGTTCTCTTTCATAAAACTATTTAAAAAGGCAAGCCTGATTCTGGAGAAGGGGGCCTTCCACTTGCCAGGCCCCAGCCCCCAGACTCGGTCGCCAGGAGGGTGGGTGTGTCTCACCCAGCAGTCTCCCTGAGCAGGTGCATCGAGACATAACTGTGGAATTGCTGGAGCCACGGCCAGACCCTGCAAACGCCTGGAGGAATCGGACTCCACGGGGAAATTTGCTATCCCCAGGAACTGTTGTGTCTGTGCTTACAACAGTCGCTGTTAATGGCCATCCATTTGTCAGCTCAGAGCTTTCAGCAAGAGAAGCAGGCTTTTGGCAGGCACGGTTGTTTTAAGGCTTAAATACAAGAGAAGTTTGAGATGCTCTAATCAGTTAAAATTGCAAATAATGCAACATCGCCAAGTGTTATCAGCCCGTCCTTGGTGCCACCCCAGGAGCTCGCTATTGTCCTGGAGCTGTGACGGGCAAGGACGAAGGGCCCGCGTGTGTCGCCTGCACCAGCAAGGTCTCGGTCATTGTCCCAGCAAGCCGGACCCACAGCTGGGGGCCAGCATGCGTCAGGGCTGGAGCGGCGCAAGCCACCCCCCAGCACCCCCGCTCTCTGGGTAGTTACACTCCAAGATCATCCCGTAGTGGCTCCAGTTTCAGAGCCAGGCAGACTTGGACTCACTGATTCAGCGTCGCTCAGCTTTGCACGGGCTGTTTTTACCTCTCTGCGTCTCTCCCTGACGCGGCCCCTGGGACCCAGAGGGGGCTCCATTAGTGACTGCGCCTTCTATTATTATTACCGGTATTATTGTGCTTCGCAAAACTGTCACTGTCATCACCATCAAAGCAGAGACCCGCGGAGACCCGAAGTCGCTGTGATGACTGCCGGGACAGGACCTGCGCGCACAGACACCGAGGGGCAAACCATCTGCAGGAAGTGTCCGTGAGAAGGGGTGTGGCCAGCCACAGAGGCGCCAAAGGAGGAAAATCATTCATTCACTCGGCAAATATTCGGGGAGCTCCTATGATATGCCGCACCATCTACTGGGCATCGAGATGGAGAGAGAAGGGGACCGATGCGGTCCTGCCCTCTTGGAGCTTGGGGTCCGGTGTGCTGATGGTGAGCGCGAGCAGTGACGGCAGGCGCGGTGGGGTGCGCTCTGTGGGACCTACACTAAGCAGCACAGAGGGCCTCCCTGAGGATGAAGAGAAAGACGGTGTTAGGCCGAAAGTGACAGGAGGTGGCGAGGGCAGGAGGGAGAGAGAGCAGGCCACCATGACTGCACAGTCCACCATGACGGCACAGACCGAAGGTCCGCGGGGTTCCTGCAGGGCGCTAAGGGGCAGGTGCTGCCGTGGCCCGGGAGGGGAGCCTTTGCCGACAGACGGAATGTTCCAGTCTTTAAAAATGGATGCATTATGCAAGGTTCAGCCAAGGCCCTCAGCTGTGTGATTGCTCAGCTGCCCTGGCCTGACCCCAGAGTCCACTCCTGGGTCGGCGTGCAGGGAGGAAACGTGCTGTGTGCGGATGGAGCCCCTCTCCACGCGGAACCCAGGGAGGGCTGGGATCGGGGAGGCCCAGGAAGTCGCTGCCCATGGAGGCTTTCCACTTGCAAGGCCTGAAGATTAACCGTGTCTGTGGCGGGCTCTCCTGAAGGTGTTCCCTGCGTCTGTTCAGCATCTCCTTCAGAAGGTCCCAAAATTCATCTTCCCAAGGCCTCGCTGTGGCTCCTGACAGTCTCTCCTCTTCTTCCTTGCTCCCCATGGGTCTCTCCCCCGTCCCCGCCCCAGACAGCCTCCCCTTGTTGTGCTCTACATGCCGCGGTTAGTGGACCCCGCTCCCAAGGGCCGCACGGGGTCACAGGAGGGGGTGCCAGCCGGGCTCGGGGCTGGGGAGGGTGGGGATGGGCGGCACCTCCGCCTTGATGTCAGTTACCTTTCAGTTTCGCTCTTTGTGTGAGTCTTGA